GTCTCCCCAAAACCAAACCCAGTGATGAGTGCCTTTCACGTTGAATCATAATCGAATGAAACGAAAGTGTGGAAAGGTCTAGTGTTGCGGAAAGTTTTATTTCCTTTCTTTTCTTTTCTCTTCTCTCTGTTTTTGAAAACTTTATTTTTAAGAAAACAGCCAATCTAGTTTGGTTGGTCTATGATATGGGTCCAAAAGTGGTGTAGTTGTATGGGGCTTGCAAAGACCTTTTCAACGATATATTATAAGCCCAATTCCGATGAATACTGAGGAAGTTATGGCCAATTTACTAAACTGGGCCCGGTTTGAGTTTTAAGTACGGCCCAATGATCTAGGGGAGGGCCTAATATGATTTATCATTCCTAATGTAATTAGGAATGGTTTTGGTCTTCTAGAACATTCTAGAAGGTTTTATCATTCTTAATTCAATTAGGATTCTTCAGAGTTTTAATCAAGATCAAATAGCATTTTTGACTGAAATTATATTATTTTATCTTCCAGTACAATAAAATTATCAGATTTTCGAAAACGCGTTAAAAGCCGGTTTGGCTTCCAACCCCAGGCCTTGGCGCCTAGAATCAGGATTGGCGCCAGACGCCAGCCATTGGCGCCTGGCGCTAGCCACTGGTCTTGGCGCCAATGAGCCAGGGCTAGCGCCAAGTTGGTTTTTTCGATCTTCAGACTCTGTTTTGATAAATTATCTTTTTTGGATGATTTTCTCTATAAATATCGTATCAAAAATTCCGTTTTCATTCACCAATTCTCCTTATTCTTAAGTTTTAATAAACTCCGTTTTCATTCATCATCAACAATCACTTTTTTCAATTACCCATGATCAATATTCATTGAACATTAATCAACTCTTTTTATTAATAAATCTTTCTTCAATTCTCTTCATCTTCATTATTCATTCATCAATTTTCAATAACATTAATCTTTTAGCATTCTTTTCTATACTTTGCTTTTTCATACAAAATTCCGCATTCACAAGATCTTGATACACCTAGCCATATTCGAAGTTGTCTTCGCCCTAGACGTGAAAGGTTTTAATTTCTGAGGGTTTGGTCCCAAATCTCTCTTTCAATTATTTAATTTAATTGTTTTTATTTATTATTTTTCCTTGAAGTTACTAACGTGTGTATTTTGTAATTAGAAAGCGGTACGAGGCATCCAAGTAATTACTTTAATGGTTTAATTGATTTCATGATGTAGAAATCATGCTTAGATTGTTATTTGTGATTCCTAGTATCATGTCTAGGGTATCTTTAATATTGAGTATGATTAAGTATGATGCTTCTTATGTTCTTTATAATATTTATGATTATTATTATTAATGATGTTGATTATTTATTATGTTGTTTGATATGCATATTATTTTATATTGTTATTGCTTGATCACCTTTTATTGCAGGTTAAAGGGAATTGGTATTTGTAATCACGCTTAATAAGATAATTTAATAATCTTGTTTAGGGTTAATTGTGATTATAAATTCAAGTGATCGCCAATAATAGTTTATTTGTGCATTAAATTCAACCAACATAGATAAACAGGTTTAGGGTTAATCCTATTGGTTGTATGTTAATCAGAAAGCGCGCATGAATACGAGCAGAATAAAGTAGAGGCCTATTATTAGGGCAGGTTCAATCTCTTTTAGGTTGGATTTGTACCACCATCCCCGAACCCTTATTAGGTTCATGACCTTATGGAGTTGACGATCTCTTAGATCGTTAAGGGGTGTAACCTTCATCCTATGAACGGTTTACAAGTTCCTTAAAAACTTGTTGGCGACTCTTTTGCTCTATCTTCTTCCCTTTTGGACGCCACCGTACTTTAGTGTATGATCACAGTGGGGTTCAAGCTAGTGGGATTTTAAGGCTTGAAATTATTCCCTACAATAAGCATCAAGCCGAATCTCATCTAGCTCGTTCAATTGAAGAAGTCTCGCTTCACCGGCCTTCTCTAGTTCTAAATTAATTTCCTTGACGGCCCATTGGGAAAGATATTCCATTTCGACCGGTAAATGACAAGCTTTGCCATACACCAACCGATACGGAGTTGTGCCTAACGGAGTTTTGTAAGTCGTTCGCAATGCCCACAGTGTATCGTCCAACTTCAATGACCAATCTTTCCGGGACTTGTTGACAACCTTTTCAAGGATTCTTTTGATTTGTCGATTAGATACCTCCACTTGGCCGCTCGTTTGAGGATGATAAGCCAAGCCAACCTTGTGAGTAACTCCATGTTTCTTAAGAAGAGCCTTAAAAGTTCGTTGATGGAAATGAGAACCACCATCACTAATAACAACTCTTGGGACTCCGAAACGCGGAAAGATGATCTTCTTGAATAACTTCATAACAACCTTTGAGTCATTAGTTGGTGACGCAATAGCTTCAACCCACTTAGTGACATAGTCGATGGCAACCAAAATGTACCGATTCCCGCAAGAAGAGGGAAATGGTCCCATAAAATCAATGCCCCATACATCAAAAGGCTCAACCTCAAGAATCCCATTTTGTGGCATCTCTTGCCTCTTTGATATATTTCCCGTTCTTTGACACTCATCACATGCATTGTAAAAAGCACGAGCATCCTTGAATAATGAGGGCCAATAGAAACCACATTGAAGCACTCGGTGGGCAGTTATAGTAGAACCAAGATGTCCACTAGAAGATAGATTATGGCAATGATGAAGGATACCATGGGTATCCCAATCCGCTACACATCTCCGAAACATTCCATCAGCGCACTTTCGATACAAATGAGGGTCATCCCAAAAGTACCGCTTGGCATCATGGTAGAACTTCTTACGTTGTTGGTAAGTCAGATCCGGAGGATGTGAACCACCTACACAAAAATTAGCATAGTCAGCATACCTTGGAGATACAGAAGAAACAGAGAATAAATGATCATCGGGGAAAGAGTTATTTATAGGGCTATCTGAAGTAGACTGAAATCTTAATCGAGAGAGGTGATCCGCAACAACGTTCTCGGCACCCTTTTTATCTCGAATCTCTAAATTGAACTCTTGAAGGAGAAAAATCCATCGAACGAGCCTCGATTTAGCCTCTTTCTTTGCTAGGAGATACTTCAGAGCGGCATGGTCAGTGTGGACAATTACTTTCGAACCAATGAGGTAAGTTCGAAACTTGTTAAGAGCAACACAATAGCTAGGAGCTCTTTCTCAGTGGTGGCATAATTCATCTGAGCCTCATCAAAGGTTTTACTAGCATAGTAAATGGCATGCAAAACCTTGTTCTTTCATTGTCCAAGCATGGCTCCCACAGCATAGTCACTCGCATCACACATGATCTCGAATGGAAAATCCCAATCTGAGGTTTTATGATTGGAGCAGTTATTAATGCCTCCTTGATCCTGTTGAAAGACTCCATACAAGCATCAGTAAACTCAAATGTGGCATCCTTAAGCAACAATTGAATGAGGGGTTTCGCTATTTTTGAAAAATCTTTTATAAATCGGCGATAAAACCCCGCATGACCAAGAAAACTTCCCACTCCCTTGACATTCACAGGAGGAGGAAGTTTCTCAATCACCTCAATTTTTGCTTTGTCAACTTGGATGCCACGATTAGAAATAAGATGACCAAGTAACACTCCTTCATTGACCATGAAATGGCACTTTTCCCAATTCAAGACCAAATTGACATCAGTACAACGGTTAAGCACCTTAGAAAGATTATGCAAGCACATATCAAAATCAGAGCCATAAACACTGAAATCATCCATAAATACCTCCATGATGTTCTCAATGAAATCAGAGAAAATGGCCATCATACACCTTTGAAACGTTGCAGGGGCGTTACACAACCCAAATGGCATTCTGCGATAAGCAAATGTACCATAGGGGCATGTAAACGTTGTCTTCTCTTGATCTTCTTGATGAATGGGAATCTGAAAGAAACCTGAATATCCATCCAAATAACAGAAAAAACTATGTTTTTCTAATCTTTCAAGCATTTGATCTATAAAAGGTAAGGGGAAGTGATCTTTCAAGGTGGCTGTATTCAACCTGCGATAATCAATACACATACGCCAACCTGTGACAACACGAGTAGGAATTAGTTCGTTCTTATCATTTTTAACAACAGTTGTCCCCCCTTTCTTAGGAACGACTTGTACCGGGCTCACCCACTTAGAATCTGAGATGGGGTAGATGATGCCCGCGTCAAGAAGTTTCATTACCTCTTTCTTCACCACCTCTTGCATATTAGGATTCAGTCGACGTTGTGGTTGGATGCAAGGGCTATGATTCTCTTCCAAATTGGTTCTATGCATACAAAAATTAGGACTTATCCCTGTAAGATCGTCAATGTTATACCCGATTGCCTTTTTATGCATGCGAAGCACAGTCAAAAGCTTAGAAACTTGGCTATCATCGAGTTTAGCACTAACAATTACAGGGCATTCCTCATTATCATCAAGAAATGCATATTTAAGATGAGAAGGCAAAGGTTTTAACTCTACCTTTTTTGCTTGTGACTCAGAAATAGAACAAATAGTTTCCATTACCTCAAACCCCTCAGTGTTAGGGGCATCCAAGTCACGAATCAAGGAGTCAATCTCTGCATCTCCTTCTCCTTTAGAGACCTCCAGGGTGAGAACAGCTTCTAATGGATCATTAGCTAACTCACGAGGCGTATCATCTCTCACAATCTCATCAAGCACATCAATCCTGCAACAAGTATTCTCAAGCATAGGCGACTTCATCGCATTGATTAGATTAAAAGTCATTGTATCATCACCAACAGACAAAGTAAGGGACCCAAACTTGACATCAATAACAGCGCCTGCGGTACACAAGAAAGGTCTACCTAAAATGATCGGGATATTACTATCCTCCTCCATATCCAAAACTACAAAGTCAACAGGAATGAAAAATTTCCCAACCCGAACGGGGACATCCTCTAGAACACCTAAAGGGTATTTTATAGAACGATCCGCCATTTGCAAGGTGATTTGTGTGCATTTTAAAGCTCCCATATTCAACATGTTACAAACAGAAAGAGGCATAACACACTAGCACCTAAGTCACATAAAGCTTTATCAATGAATAATGCACCTACATGACATGGGATGGAAAAACTACCAGGGTCCTTAAGCTTAGGTGGGGATTTATTTTGAAATATAGCACTACACTCTGCAGTTAGAGCGACTATTTTTACACCACCAAAGTCTTTCTTCTTAGTAATCATTTCCTTTAAAAACTTTTCATACATTGGAACTTGAGAGACCAAATCAGTAAAAGGAACAGTTACCTCAAGGTTCTTGACCATAGTCAAGAACTTACCAAATTGTTGATCTACCATGGTCTTTTGCATTCGATGTGGGAATGGTAGCTTTGGCTCGACTGATGGAGGCTCAGAACCTTTATTTTTCTCTTTCTCAGAATCACTTGCTTTAGCTTTCCCATCTTTTGAGGTGGGAACATTATCTAAGGCCTTCTCTGCAACCTCACCATTCTCCTTCTCAAGATTTGCATCATCAGTAGGCATTTGTGGCCCTTCATAACTGACACCACTACGAGTAGTGATAGCATTGGCGGTCTCCTTAGGGACCGGTTGTCCTGGTAAGTGGCCAGGTTGCCTTTGGATATTGGTACCTGCGACTTGCGCGATTTGGTTCTCCAAATTCTTTGTCGTATTTTTCAACTCCTTGATGCTATCTTCAGTGTTTTGCTTCATGGATGCCATCATTCTCATGAGGTCAGACATAGTAGGCTCTTGAGTGCTAGCATTTCCATGAGTAGGTTGTTGAGGCGGTCTATTGAAACCCGGAGGATGATGAGAGGCCCCTTGTTGATGTTATGGAGGCCTTGTAACATATTGCTGAGGTTGAGGGTTCTGAGGCTGTGACCACTGTTGCTGAGGTTGTGCCCATTGTTGCTGAGGTTGAGGATTTAGAACATTATTGCTTTTGTATGAAAGGTAGGGATGATTCCTCCAACCTGGATTGAATGTGTTAGAATACGGATCATTTGGTTACCTTTGTTGAAAGGCATTCACCTGCTCCATCTGATTGGTGTCTTGAGAATTCTGAGCACATTGATATCCAAAAGTGGTTAATTGAGCCATTTGAGATGTCATGAGTGAATAGGCTTCAACTTCCATCTTCCCTTTCTTTGGTCGCGTTCTTGGAGATGAGAAGTGGTTGGCTGCAAGATTTCCAAGAAAATCATACCCTTCCTCGATTGTCTTGTCAAGGAAAACACCACCTGCAGCAGAATCAACAATACATTTAGTCTCAGGTTCTAGTCCATTATAGAAAATACGAACAAGATTCCACTTTTCAAAATTGTGATGCGGGCATGATCGTTGAAGATCTAAGAATCTATCCCATGCTTCCCTAAGAGATTCCCCCGACTCTTGAGAAAATGTTGATATTTGATGTCGAATCTTTTCAGTTTTTTCAGGGGGAAAATATTCTTTGAGGAATGCTTGAGAAATCTTGCTCCACTCCGTCTCCTTGAAAGTGTTCAACCACTTTTGAGCTCTATCGCAAAGGGAAAATCCGAACAACATCACCTTCAATTGATCTTGAGTGACTCCTTTGTGATGAACAGTGGAGCATAATTGTTGAAATCGCTGCAAGTGATTAATCGGCTCGTCAATAGGATGGCCACTAAATTGATTTTGTTGGACCATACTGAGCAACGCGGGTTTGATTTCGAAGTTCTCTGTAGTGATTGCTGGCATTTTAAGACCCGTTGGAATGCCATCTTGGGATGGTACTCCGTAAGAATTAAGAAACCTATTATCAGTCATCTCTTTGTGTGTGTCAGACTGTGTTGTAGAGCTCTTCTGTGAGTGGATCTTTTTCTGCTTCCCTTTCCCTTGTTTTTTGAGTTGCCTAAGGGTCTTGTCCAAGTCCGGATCCATAGGGATCAAATCACCTGTTCGTTTTGACCTGGGCATAAACAAAAAGAAAAGAAAGCAATGAGAATGTCCCAATTGAAACTAGAAGTTCCAATGGGACAATAAACACAGTTCAAACAATCAAACTAAAACTAATAGAATTTAGCCGTCTCCCCGGCAACGGCGCCAAAAACTTGATGAATAAAAAGTTATACCGCAAGTGCACGGTGTCTGTTGTTAGCAGAGATTTAGCAAATACGGGTTCTATTAGTTTTTGCCCAATTATATGAACTATTTCTATAAACGAATAATGATTTGATGATTAATTAACTAAAGAATGACAATAATGAAAGTAAAGTTGTTCTCAGACAAATTAAAGTCTAGGGCATATGTTCGGTCCACCATGCTTATACCAATCCAAGAAATGCAAACAATCCATTAATAAACAAACTAGGTTGAATAATTAAAGCACTCGTTAATCCAACGGTCGGAAATTAACGCTTACGAATTAACATATGTAGTTCGGCCGCTAACATAATCAAATTCGCCAATTGTAATTAAGCCTCTAAAAATATGATCTTTCAATTATAATTTTTATTAGCTAAATAATTAACTCGTGATATTGGCCAATTACATGAATCAAACAATAAAGCACAAATCAATCGGAATTATTCAAACCCTATAAATTTATAAATAATTAAGCATAATTAATCAAGGTATAAACATGGCTTCCCTCACTTAGCCCTAGAAAACGACTACTCACTCATAATTGAAATAAACAAAACAAAAGAAATAAATAGACTTGAATTCATAATTGATAAAATAAATAAAGAACGAAAAGAATAAATGAAATACCTCGATGATTGAATTAATGGAGAAATAAAGCTAGGGTTCAACAATGGAGAGAAAAAAAAACTAAGAAACGTTTAATTGGTCATGAGAATCACAATCGATGGAAAGCAATCCCGCACGCAAAACCCATCGCCCGATGGGTGGCCGATGGTCGAGTGGAGGTAGGCCACGACAAGAACCATCGGGCCAGGCAGCTTTGAGGGCCGTGTATGCGGCTAAACCATCGGGCAACCATCGCCCGATGGCTGAATGCTTGGCTGGCAGATTTGCAGGGCCGACTTTGGAAGGCTGTAACTCGCAATCCAGGAATCATATGAAGGCGTGCTACCTATCATTGGAAAGCTCTTCAAGTCTAGTTTCCAACCCAACTTGAATCACCCCAATCCGATCTGTAGAACTCGAGTTATGGCTGAAACAATGCACAAGGATCCTTTTTAATACTTTGCAAACCTTCGTTTTCCTTTGTTTCTAACTCAAATTCAATTCCGAAAAGTGCATGTCGATCCTTGTGGATGCTAATTCAATTCCCACGCATGAAATCCTTAGAGACAACATCCATGAGCATAAATTCCTCAATCAATAAACTCGATCCATCGATTTCCATTTAAATATTATTCGAATCATCTCCAAACACTTCAAAAGCGTCCAAGTGACTATGAAATCACCTGAAACATTAAGAAATACACAAACGAAGCGTAATAAAGCGATACATGATGACTTATGCAAATATGACCCTAAAATCGACTAAAAAGACTAAGAAAAAAGTACAAAAACTAACATAAACGTGCCTAAGAACCCTATATAAATATGATTCATCAATTAGTTCCATAACTATAATATTTTTTTTTATTTAAATGTATGTAAGCTTTAGCTTAAAAAGTCAAAAAAAAAATAAATAAATAAATAAATAAAAAAACTAATGTCTACAATAGCTTTGGAGGGAAATTTTTTTATAAGAAGTTATTACATGGGTAGTTATGATGCCAGCGGCAGGTTAGTCTCGTGCAATGCACGATTTTTATAATAAAAAATTCACTTGTAATTGTGAAACATAAAATTTTTAAGCAAAACCTAATAAATCGTGATCCCTCTCATTTAATTTATTAAGCTAAAATGAAGGACATAAATATTTTAATTAGTCTCATGGCTATAATAATTTTTTTATTTTTTAAAAAAAAATGTTAGCTTTAGCTTTAAAAAGTCAAAATAAAAAAATTTAAAATAATAATGTCTACAGGAGGGAAATTTTTTTATAAGAAGCTGTCACGTAGATAGCAAAACCTAATAAATCTTGATCACTACTTGTAATTGTGAAACATAAATTTTTTAAGCAAAACATAATAAACATGATCCCTCTCATTTAATTTATAAAGCTAAAATGAAGGACATAAATATTTTAATTAGTTTCATAGCTATAATAATTTTTTTTTTTAATGTATGTAAGCTTTAGCTTAAAAAAGTCAAAATAAAAAAAAATTTAAAAATGATGTCTACAAAAGCTTTGGAGGGAAAAAAAATTTATAAGAAGCTATCGCATGGATAGTTATGATGTCAGCAGTAATTCCTTGAATACTAGTTATAGATATAGATAGATTATATACATTCTAACAATAGACAACTACGTTCCAAAAAAAAGAAAAAAAAAACAATAGACAACTAAAAAAATAAATTAAAAAAAAACACACAAACAGGGACACGTGCCAGCTTCGTAGCTAATGTGCCCTGTTTTAGTATAGTGCTAGATAAGCCTCGTGCGATGCACGACATAAAAAAATTCTTTAAAATAAAAATTTATTTACATATGTGCCTCGTATGAGATAAATTATAAAACCATATCCATTAATTGCAATGCTATTTAGATTTAACTAATTTTGAAGAAGAGTATAAATTGAATTAAACTATGCAATACGAAGTTCTCTTTAACTGGGAATAATTATAGAAAAAGTAACTCGTAAATTCATCATAATATAATATATGGAATATAATATAATAACTATTTATTTTATATATATAAAATTAAAAAAATAAAAAAAAAAACCTATTGTAATAACTTAAGGTAAAAAATAAAAATAAAAAGAAATATATGATGTCAGCAATTAATTTAGGCGGGAAAAATTTTAACCACGACTTAATATGTGTACAATTTGAAAAAGTAATGATGTCAGCGGTTGTTATTTTAGTTTATTTATAGATATTGATAGATAGACCAAATAGATAGAAGACAACTTTTAATAAATTTAAAAATTGTCAAACAACAAGAATGTCATTATACATGAGGTACGGATAAATAAAAATATTTTTACTTTTTATAGTCAACCTCCTACTTTTAGAAATGTTAATAAGAAGGGTTATGTTGAATGCCATTTTACACATGGTTGGAAATTTGATAGGAAATTGCTTTAGAAAATATGTAAAAGATTTCATTAGTTGAAAGTTTATGTCATTTGTCAAACATCTTTAATTCTTTTTCTCTGGTCGTTGCCCAATTGTGAGTTGTAGTTTCTAGAACGAAATTACTAGATGTGAATTTGACTGTTGATTGTTGAAGTTGTGATGAAGAAAATTCGTCTACAATAGTATATGAATTGACTTATCTTCTTGTTGTTTATAATAATCCTTCTTTGTCTTTTGTTTACTCATATTTTTTGAAAAAAACAAATGACTTTTTTAGAACAACCATCATTAAAAATAAATAAAAATATTATTTGTGCAAGTATATATTTGTTATAAAACCACAAGCATTAAAGTTAAGAAATATTGGAGAAAACGGCTTAGACTTTGCATTGATAATAATCACATATACATACACAATACAATAGGAAACCTAATTAGCCTAAAACTCCTAACAAGATAAACTTAACATAAATACAATATTAGCATAAATATAACCAAACCGACTCTAATACTCCCCCTCAAGTTGGAGCATGCAAATCGCGAATGCCCAACTTGCGTAAAAGAAAACCAAACTGCTAACGTACAAGAGCCTTAGTTAGAATATCTGTCAACTG